TTGACCATTTATGGATGATTGTGGGAAGACACTGGAAGGAGTATGCGCGCGCACACTTCACCGCAGGTGGGTATAATGAGAGACTGCCTGCAGGTGTGCAGCGCGCGCTTTTATAGACCTGAACACTTTCTATGGAAGCCCATATTCCCGCCAATGTGACGGAAAAAAAGGATTCTGTAAGTCATTATAATAAAACATCCTTCTCAAAATATTAAGACAGTTTCTGATTATTTTAAGATAAGGTAAATATATTGAGAAAGTTCCTCATTATTCTATGATACTAAGACATTATTTTGAGAACGTTTCTCTTTATTTTGTGATACTACGTCACAATATTAAGGTTTCTCAATATTTTGAGATACTATAATTTCTCAGACTTGACAAAGCTTCTCCAGAGCCACAAAGACATAATACTGTTATCACAGGCTGTTTTCCCTCATGATGAATACACTTATTTACTTTGTAATATGTGGAGTGCCCCTTTAAGGGAGTCCTTAAATCACATTAAACCCATACAGCTAATCAAACTACATTATATCAATTTTATCAAAGTTTGATTAATGGACACCAAATTGAAATATTTAATTTTTAAAAGGACAACAACATCGCCACGCGGACAAGCCTGTCTGTTCCAAAGCATTAGTATTAGCTATATTTAGATAACACCCTGTTTATTGCGTGTCAGAATCAATTGAATTTGAAGTGTAAAATCATTCAGGAATTGTCAAAAGAATGAATGTGACTCTTATATCTTATAATAATCCTGTGAAAAGATTTGGTCAACTGAATGCATTCTAGCATTCATTCCTGGCCTATTTTAAGGAGCTACCTCACACTACAAGTCATTTAATTTTGAACATTACAGGCTGCAGCAGGCAGTGCCAAGGTGAGAATCACGAAGCTCGGTGGGCGAAACCAATCTGCACCAACTTTTAGCAATTTGGTCAAACCCTCACTCTGAATAAAGGAGACATTACTGAAGTGAGAGAAGTGGAATCAGCCTATAATCAGCTAACACATGTACTATAAGCCTGAGAGGACATGATGGCACAGTGAGAGAATGTCAGCACTGTGGGCGTGATAGGCATCTCAGCCAGTCATTTTATTACGCAAGACTTGGCCACCGGGACCAAAAATTCAATTCCTTCAACAGGGTAGGAAGCAGAAGCTTATCGTCGTCAACTCTAGCAAGAGGCAGTTTGTGGTTTTTTTTGCTACAATATCTGCTATAGCCTAAAGCAGCATTTTCCATTTAGGAACACAGCATTACACAGAGAGGAGTCACTGGAATTGTGCTACGCAAATTCCGCTGAGATTTCCAACAAAAGCTGAGATAATTTGAAAATATGCAAATTCTCAATGAATCAGAGGCAAGCAGACACGACACAGCGTGAATTCAGAGCCTCGGCAAGTCCTACAAGACTTGCAGCCACAGAGTTGTTTGCGGTGCTTATAGACAGGTTCTACAGAGAGAGCACTACATTGCAGCTCAGATAAAACCAGAGGATGAACAAGGTGTTAAGCTGGTATGTGCAGATTTTATGGTGTTTCGCATAATGCATAAATATCATAAGAAAGCTCTTGGCTAAAGTAATCAAGCTAACACAAGTGATTAAGCTGTCTGAGCTAAGAATTATGGTCTTAAATTACCTTAAAGCTGCACTAATAAATATTTCTATATTAAAAAGGGTAAAATGATTATGTGTATTGTGAAAGGTTTCGCTTGTCATAACAAACCAACAGAAAATTATGACTCATCTCTTCAGTTCCCCTCTTCTCAGCAGAGAGATACAGTTAGTGGCTAGCTGGTGAGCATAGTGGGGGACTTAGCAGCTAAAGAGACAAGATATTTTTCTCAGATACTGGTGGAGACAAACAGAGCTAAAAGGAAGTGAATACTGGACATTCATCAGAAACACTACTGCTAACTATAGCTGCCCCTTAGCTAGTTAGCCCAGTTAGCCGTGCAGCTGTCAGGTTAGCAGATTCCGCCTGGCCTGGGAGCACAGAGTCAGAGTCAGCTGATATGAGCTGAAAGGCTAACTGAGCTAACTAGCTAACAATGGCTACAGTTAGCAGCAGTTAGTGGTGAGCTATTTTAGTAACAAGTAGAGCTATCTGTTCATCAGTTACTCCATAAACCACAGAGGTATGAGGCAGATCAGCCAGAAGAAATCTGATTATTTCTCTATTAAATATGATCCAGTTTCACCAAAATTAGTGAATGAAGTTCTAAAAACTCTGCTCCACCAGCTATCATTTTCTCAACCTAATTCTTGTCTCATTTGTGGTTCAATAAACAGTAAATTCATCAAGTTCAGTGCCCTATATCACTATTGTTCCAGCTAAGTTACTGTAGCTTTCGTATGCCCTCAAGCACCAGCAAGAGGACAGGCGCTGCTCACAAGCACTGGGTTCCGGAAGTTGGTCAATCAGAAGAAAGTAGTCTTTTGGGAAGATGGCCCTTAAAGAGACAGGAGCTAAAACGGCTTGTTTGAGGGTGAACTGCAGGGCTGTATAAAAGGCCAGTATAAGATAAATGAGGATTTTTTTTTTAAACAATGATTCATACAAAGCTACTCCAGTGGAGTCCCAGAATAAAAATATAGAGCTGGAAATGGGAACAATACGTCTCCTTTAAAGCAATACAGAATAGATAATAGAATTCTACATATCATAGGGTAGTTTTAAATGTGGTATAGGAATAGCTATAGGAAAAGCTGTTTTCTTTCTGTTTGTTTTTCTTCTGTTCTTTCATTGCTTATGAAGCTCATCTATTGAATATCCAACTCAAGTGTAGCAGAGTTAGGGTAGTACCTTGATACAATGTTAAAATCAAAATAATGCCACTTTATGGTCGCTGCAGCAGCAGTTATTTTACAGATCACTTTGAAATGACCATCTAGACTTCACTCCCTCACTGGCTAAAAGATGACAAATAGGTCCACTATAGATACCGAGTGGTGACTGTGCTATAGACATAAGTTATGGCATACTGTAAGACCTTAGTCACACAACACTGAGTCACGCTGCAGTAAAAAGCTTTGCTTTTTGTGAGCTGTCAATACTTTGACTTTATCACAAGTAAAAAAAATATATGTTGACCTGCACCACAGCAGAGTGAAATAGTAAATACTGTAGCTTTATGAGACATGCCTCTAAACTTGACCTCAAGTACAATGTTGGACATTGTGCTGATTTTCAGTCCTCACACACCACGAGGCGAGTCACTGCCTTTATTTATGTCAGCAGAGTGTGGCGGAAGCTTTGTCTGCCAGTCCAGCAGCAGTGGCAGCATGGGACTAGATGTGTGGTCACTAACAAGAGCCTTTCTCTGTTTCTTTATACAAGAGCTTGATGAACTGTGGCAGGCTGGCCTCTCTAGCTCAGATACTGACGAATGCCCTGACCAGTCAACT